ATGTTGTTAGCCATTTTATAACATATGTAATTATTAGTCAAGCCACCAATTTAATGTCTGTCAATCTAACCGAGATTAATATTTTTAATGTGTTCATTAATAGGTTCTGGTTTATCCCTTAAAGTCATATATCTTTTCAATTAGAACTTTTTAAAACCATCATCAGTAACATTTCTACCACTTAATAATTATCTCTAAGATTAAATCATAGCTAAATGTATTGAAATTTTGATATAAATATGTTGCTAACTATTTTGTTCAATGACATTTTGACTTGTAAATTTTTTTCGGGGGAGGAGAACTTCAGTAGGATAGTGATTTTTTTCATTCTTTTTTTCAATCTATGTTTCAAAGTAATTAACTGCAATCTTATCTTCAGTAATATTTGACAATTTCAATTGAGTTTTTTTAACAATAATGATGAATTTGCTAAATTAGTGACAAGTTCTTTATCATAATGATAATTTAATAACCAGACCGATGTATAAACTTTCCTTCTGTAATTTATTTTCTTTTATTTCGTTTGAATGTCACAATGTACATAAATTGGATGAAAAATTTTGGATGCCGGCTCAGTGATCTGGTGGCTAAGTGCTCGCGCGCAAGACTGATAGGTTCTGAGTTCGAATATTGCGAGGCGAGACAATGGATGTGTACCGCCGAGGAGTCTCACAGTAGGACGAAACGGCCGTCCAGTGCTTCCAGGTTTTTCATGGTGGTCTAGCTTCAATTGACTCATTATCTCAACCATTAAAAAATCTTGTCAAATATCTAAAACCTTTTATTAAATATTCCATGTATTTAATTACTACTTGGTTTAAAGCAATTAGTCCCTTTTATAAATTTCGATAGAACAATGAGAAGACGGAGTTGATCTGAAAAATGTGATGTATTTGCGCTATACATTTCGAACAATCTGGTCACACATATACTTGTCAAGGCATTTTTATATGAAAATTAATAAAGGTCAATAAAGTTCAAACAAACAAATAAAGTACAACTAAAATAACTAAGGGGGGAGAAAGAATAAGAAATTGTCGCGTTATCCTAGGCCATAGAATGACTTAAGGATTACCAAGGTAAATTCAAGGTTACGACAAATTGTTTTTGTACACATAAGGGGGGTTTAAATTTACGAATAGCTAAGGCTTCAATAAACTTAAGAATTCGACCTTGACAATTTCTATACAACATTCTAAATGCTGTATTAATGTTAATTTTGTGCCCCGTCTCAATTTTATATGGATTACCTAAAATTCATAAACCTAATATTCCATTACGACCAATTTTGTCTATGCGTGGTTCTCCCACACACGAGCTAGCTAAATGGTTAGTAAAACTGTTAAATCCTATTCGTACTAATCTATGTAAGTTCTCTTTAAAAGATACATTTGAATTAATTGACTTTCTTGGTGATATTAATATTAAAGATAAATCTTTGCATTCATTTGATGTTAACTCCCTCTTCACGAATGTACCGTTAACAAAGACGGTGGATTTCCTTTGTGACTATATTTCAAAAAACTTTCCCCTTTTTCCTATTCCGTCACCATTTTTGAAAGATTTACCTTTATTATGTACAGCTAATGTTCAATTTACATTTGATGGTGAATATTTTCGACAAGTTGATGGTGTAGCTATGGGTAGCCCTTTAGGGCCTCTCTTAGCTGAGGTATTCATGTCATATGTGGAAAATATGACGAGCGACCTCATTGGTGAGACAACACTATATAGAAGATATATGGACGATATTCTAATTATATGTGATAAGGATTTTGATGTTTACCGATTACTGGATAAACTCAATAGTGTTCAAAATGATATTGTAATGACACATGAACCAGAAAGTAATGGCCAATTAGCCTTTCTAGACATACTTTTAAGTCGAAGGGATGATGGCACTATTAGACGGTCCGTGTATAGGAAACCAACTTGGACGGGACAATACCTAAATTTCCATAGTTTCTGTCCATTGCAATACAAGAGAGGTCTAGTTAAGTGCCTCTTTAAGAGGACTAAAAGAATATGTACCTCTGATATGGTGGAAAAAGATGAAAAGTTACTGACTGACACTTTAATCGCAAATGGTTATCCACTCAAGTTTATTAATAGGTGCAAAAGTCAGTTAATGCCAAGACCTCTAATTTATTCAGTGCCAAAGAAAAAGGTTTACATCAATCTACCATATAGAGGCGAATCAAACAGTATTGTTTTAAGGCACAGATTGAAAGCAGCCATTGAGAATACATATTATGCTGCTCAGTTGGTAGTGATTGAAAAGTCTAAGGCCATGATTCATAATAGACCCAAACAATGCACTAATGATTACGTCACATCCCATTGTATTTACCAATTTACATGTTTGTGTGGACACACATACATAGGGAGGAGTAATCGAACAATGCAAGCAAGGGTCAATGAACATGTACCCAGATGGCTTCAAAATCAGTGTGTGTCAAATGATCCGATCAATGTAGGAGGTAGAAAACCAAGTTCATCAATAGCAAAACACATAATTGAGACGGGGCACAAAATTAACATTAATACAGCATTTAGAATGTTGTATAGAAATTGTCAAGGTCGAATTCTTAAGTTTATTGAAGCCTTAGCTATTCGTAAATTTAAACCCCCCTTATGTGTACAAAAACAATTTGTCGTAACCTTGAATTTACCTTGGTAATCCTTAAGTCATTCTATGGCCTAGGATAACGCGACAATTTCTTATTCTTTCTCCCCCCTTAGTTATTTTAGTTGTACTTTTATTTGTTTGTTTGACCTTTATTGACCTTTATTAATTTTCATATAAAAATGCCTTGACAAGTATATGTGTGACCAGATTGTTCGAAATGTATAGCGCAAATACATCACATTTTTCAGATCAACTCCGTCTTCTCATTGTACTACTTGGTTGTTTAGAATTACTTAAAATTGTTATTTATATATACATAACTACGTATTGTTTTGAATATATGAGTTATGGCTTGTAATGGAATACAATACACATTTCACCCCATCTAGTATTCGTCAAATGGTCTAACCAAAATCACTGTGGTGATATTTAAACTCTAACTAAGTACCTTTTACTTTATACATTAACGTGTTATGCATTGAGTAAGTGAGTTCAAATGGATACCAACGTGTTTATATGGCAACAGAGACCTATCAATTTTAGTCGAGACTATCAATAACGAAAAATCAGAAGCCTTCAATAATAAAACAACGTGGTTTCGAATACCTCTTGATGTATAGTGATCTCTGCGTTTAATTATTTTATAACTTATTTAATTAGACAGCATGCTAAATGATTCCAAATTGTTCAATAAATAACATAGTCATTTTACTGATTACCATAACTATGTTTTGATTCAATGGACCTGGTTTTGAGAAAACGAAAAATACTATTCGTAAATTTCCCTAATCAGATTATAGTTATCTTATTGGTTAAAATGAAGTTGTTTTTTGCTATACCTTACTAAATAAGCCAAGCATAGTTTTCAGTCATTTAAATAAGTAGTATTTTTTAACAAAATACTTTAAACTTCAGCATAAAGATTATATGCAATTACAGTTTTATAATTTTGCATTTTATCTATCAATTACAGTCAATATATTTGTTTACTTTTGTAGTAATCCACAAAAGTAACATTAGATATATTTTACTTAAATGTAAATGAGAAAACCCTAGTGAGGATTAAATTATGGGTAACTTCTGAGAACTATTAATGGACTAATATATATATATATGCACAACAAATTGACAACGGGGGTTTTGTGAAAAAGAATGCACAACAGATATTGCAATCTTCATTCATGTAAAACGAGAATACATAAATGGTTTACCGTAAACGTTTTTGGTTTGATTTATAGGTAGAATGAAATCCAGAAATATACTATTCTGTTTCGCAATTCATGTGTATAAAATGGCATTTGTTAACACCATTACAGTGAGCAAATACATGCTGATGATATAATATGTAGTTCGACATAATTTGCTGAATGTCCCGTACCTATGTTTCATACTAACTGGTGCTAATCAAATAAACTTTTAAAGAACCTTCATAAAAGTGATGTTTCTCGTGGCATTTTTACTTAGAAGCATATTATAATTTGACCGATACAATTTAATCAAAACTAGGAATTAGACAAAAATATTATTGGCTACTATACAGTAATGAATTAGCGCTCAGAGTTAATATTATGTAATACAAATAGTTCCCAAACTGGATCATCAAACAGTAGCTGAAATACATTAATTTAACCAGTATAGTTATTTTAAATGAATGATTTTGGAAACACTTTTAACGATTTCAATAGTAAAATAAGTAAATATCATTCTAATTTGTAATTTGGAAAACTCTATCAATAAACTCTTAGAAGATATAATTATACCATAGAAATCTGTTTATTATAATTGTGTACAATGAATATAAAAATTGTTTATCTACATTTTTAATTGATTTTGTTTACTAACTTTAGACATTGAAACCTAATTAGAATTGCAAATGAGTAGAAAAATTAGATTTTCTAACGTTTCGTAACTTAATGTAAGCCACTTCTTCAGAGAATAAATAACCAAATCAAAATCTGATCAGAATATCTCATTTTTGTACTCATTGGGATATTACAAATATACTATTTATTTATTTATTTATTTATAACAACGTACCCAATGCTTAATTTATTTGGAATTATCAAGTCAAACCTTGATAATGATACCTATAGAATTTCAAAGTTTTAAGTAATAAATTAAGAAATGACAAGTGGTAGATTAACATTATGGTTTACAGTTTTGTGTATTTTATGTTATTTGTTTTGTTGGCTAACTGAATAGGCTGTTTTAAAAAAAAAGAAAAACTGCAATGAAGATGTCGTTAAAAATTGTAGATTAAATTGTAAACAAGAATGATATAATTTACCATCATAATTTTAGACTCAACTTTTAATTTATTTATTTATTTATAAATTTGAACAATGTTATAATTATATTTATTTTCACTTACCCATCTTAATAATTTCAATGATCGTGAACCACTTGAACGACAACGCATACCAGGTGGCCAAGAACAAGACTGCGTATTCACACAAACACCACGTTTAATCCATCTAGGCCAAAATAATGGTCCTAAATCTTCCCATATATATTCCATAGTACATGTTGCACGTTGTAATAACCAAGTTTTCATTATATTTACTTGATCAATAGTCATTTTAAGTGGATAAATTAAACCATCATTATTTATTGAACGAAAAACAGTGAAATTTAATTCATCTATAATATTTAATAAATAATTATCAGGTTTAGGAATATTTGATGATAATGTTGAACGTGTACTTTTACTTTGTGAATTTAATGGATTTTCTATAGACATCCAATTAATTTGTAAATCAGATCCAAGTATTCGACGTAATTTACGTATTGATTCAATAGTAGAACTTGGACGTAAATGAAGTAATGCTTTACTATCTATACGTTCACCTAAAACACGTATATCAACTTTTTCAAATTCATGTGAATGTTCTGGTGGCCATGAACGATCATCATTAATAATAGAATGTTGTAATATATTTGATGGTAAAATTAATGAATTTTTATTAGATGGTTTAACAATAATTTGAGCTCTTTGATTAGAATCAATTAATAAATTAGATTGATTAGATAAATTTGATTTTTTATTGATTTTATATTCAATATTTTTATTAGATGATGATGATAATAATTGTGAAGAGGCTATAGCTTCAGCTTGTCGTGTTAATATATCACTTACTTTAACATTAATTTTACGTGAATAATCTGTATTATATAAATCATTATTTAATTTTTGTGTAATATATGCTTTATGTGATCCACCAGTTGTTATAATTGCATATTTTTTTGGTAAATTTTGATGATTGAATTCATTTAATTGTTGAATTGTATTACAAATTAATAATAAAATTAAAAGAAATGTATAAAATGATGAAATTGAAGTTTGAATATTCAATAAATGATATAAAATAATGGACATATTTAAATTTTAATAAGAAAGTTGACATAAGAGTTAATCTTTTTTGTTTTTTTCCGTTTTGCTTTTTTCTCTCTTTTTTTGAATAAAATATTATTGTTTAATATGAATTTAAACTTTGCGGTATATTTTTTGTTTGTTTATTACTATGTTGTATTACTTTGGTTTCTTATTATTCAAACTAGTTGTTTTTTTTACTTTTATAGTCTTTGTTATTTATCTATTCAACTGGTTATGTTTAATTCAATGTTCAATTTTTATACAACACATTGGAATATACAAATACATTTCAATTATTCCATTATTCGAACATATATATACATATATAGTTGTATTGAGGCACAGAAATCACTAATTTAACGAAGTTCCTATGTTAGTTTATGTGTATAAATACATTTCAGTGTATGTTTAGACAGATTTGTTTTATCAGGTTGACTTTTAAATTGTCTAAAATAATCATGATTCGAAGTTTGTCTATAATGTGTTGGTCAGACGCTCACTTCATGTGTGTGTATGTATGTATGTACGTGTATGTATGTATGTTTATAACTAAAATGAATGATTATTATGACTAGAGGTCAGTAATAATAATAATAGTAATAATAATAATCTTTATTATTTCATCCATTTCATGTTGTAGATTTTGTCCGAGGTTATCACCAAGTCATTGGGTTTTTGTTTTGTTGTGCACATGTTCATATAGGTGAGTGAATGTATCAAGAGTATAATTTGACATCCTTTTTACAGCATATTACATAATTATCAGTAAAAGTGAAATGTTGTAATATAACACACTGTTTGAAGTAATTCAATATAAACATCCTTAGAAAAATATACCAATGAAAAATGAATGCAGTAAATGAATTATGTTTGTATAAACTTTGATTATTTAAATTAAATATAAAAAAACGGTTCTATACGTAGATCATGTATAAATTTCAAAAGAAAAACAAAAATCTACATTAGGTTGTTTTAATTGAAAACAAAATAATATGCACGTGTAGTTGTTAAATGAAAATATACATTATTTATTTATTTATTTGAACACATAAATATTGATACAACGGGGCACCGAATATATATGCACCAGATACGTCACTTGATTTGTGTGTGGGCTATGACACTGCCTGGGTGCCGAAATCGAAACAGGTGGTTTCCTTAGCGAGCCACACTCGCAGCCTTTGACCTAAATGTTTGATCCACAATGCAGTGGATTAACCTATGATAGCTGGTGAAAAACGATTGGTTCATCCGCCATTTGTCCCTTCAGGATCATATAGTCCATCTACACCAGTCGTTTGGAATCAGGGTATTCCAACTCCCCCATGGTGGATCCTCCATATCCACCAACCTGGTTAAAGTGTTGACCATTCGCTTTTCGTCCTCTCAATTTCGTAACCAACACCTCTGCCGTCAGAAGGCAGTAAGTAGGAATTCCCTGACAGTGGCTGTATACGCGTGGCCATGTAAGAGCATTCCGAGAGGGAGAGCTGACTCTCCCCACCCTCTGCCGTAACAGGGCATTTAAGGGATTGAATACATAAACATGAATAAAAATCGTAAACGATATCCATTCTTGTTATTACTCTGAAAGCTTTATACATATTTAGTTCAATTTTCAATTTTATTTAATTGACACGAACTTGAAACATGACTAAGGGAATAACTAGGGAACATTGAACTTGATTGTTATTAATGTATTGATCATTCATTATTAAATTCTTTAGTTCGATACAATCAAGCAGATCGATTTAACCCATAGTGTCATTGAATGATTTGGTTTTGGATAGCGAATACCAGAATCGATTATCTGAAAAGCTGTATAGGCAAACGTGAATATCCGAGACAATTTTTCAGATCAATTTAGTAAACTGTTTTTGTTGGAAAAAATGTACAACAATTTTTAAGTTGAATGATTATATAATTATTATCAGAAGAGGGTTTTATAAAGACTTTTAGTAATTTAATAGTTAAATTCATGAGTCATTTGAAGCTAGACAACAATGGAGAACCTGGAAGCACTGGACGGTCATAGAATTATATAATTATCAGAGATCGTTAAACTCTAATGAATTATTTATATCACTAATTATTTTATAAATTATCTATTCAGAAATTACCATTGTGATATATTTTTCATATTCGCTTTGATTATTCTCTTAATGTGCTAATTCCCTTCACTTCATATTTAAAGATATTAAAAGGAAACATATTTAAACATGGTAATTGTTGTCTTATTCTAATCTTTATTTCAATCTCTACAAGAAATTTCTCTAGCACAATTTTTTTCCTGATTAACTTGAGCAAACTGATGAGGACAATGAAATTATTTGTGTTTAATGTTGAAGGAATTGAAATCAGGAGTGTTTTGCAGCGTGATAAAGTTGTATCATCAAGTTACTTATGTACTCATTCCATTACCAAAAGCCAAGTTTTCTATTTAAGTCTATAAACTGAAAACAAATAAAAGGTTAGGGAATTACATGACATGATTCATTCAAATCATAATGTTATATGCTTGATTACATTGATATTCTGTGTTGAAAAATAAAAAGGATGATATTCGTGATTAAACCGCTTAATCTCTACTCATCACAGTAACCTGTTCCAACTCTGATTCATTTACTTGTATATGATAGTAAAATTTGAGTATATCAAATTTGTACTTGGTGGGTTACACTAATAATAATAATAATAATAATAAAAATAATAATAATAATAATAATATTTAGAAAAGCAATCTCTGATTTTTTACAGCTATCCATGAAAATAATTCACACCATATTTTAACAATAACTAATTAAACTATCAATATAAAATTAAAAATAAATCACATTAGAATTATCGTGCATGCAGGACAGATGACAGATGCATTCCAAGTAAGGACCGAAGTCAGACAAGACTGCTTACTATCTCCATTCCTCTTTCTTATGGTGGTCGACTGGATTATGAAAACCTCGACATCTGAGGGAAAGCACGGCATACAATCGACAACTCAGAACCAGTTAGACGATTTGGACATCTCAGACGACCTAGCCCTCCTATCGCATACACACGAACAAATACAGATAAAGACAGTCAGTGTAGCAGCAGTCTCTCCATCAGTAGGCCTCAACATACATAAGGGGAAAACTAAGGTCCTCAAATACAACACGGAGAACACCAACCCAATCACTCTTGATGGTAAAACCCTGGAAGATGTAGAACCCTTCACGTACCTGGAAATTATCGTTGATGAACAAGAAGGAACAGATGCAGAAATAAAGGCGAGGATTGATAAAGCAAGGACAGCATTCCTACAATTGAAGAACATATGGAACTCAACACAACTTTCAAACAATATCAAAGTCACAATCTTCAATAAGAATGTCAAGACAGTTCTACTGTACTGAGCTGAGACTTGGAGAACTACTACAACGATCATCAAGAAGGTTGTGGCAAGCCCATTCGGCCACTGTATCATTTGTCTACTCATTGTAACTCAGACACTTAATTCATCATGTTAATTTCTGTGTGCATTTCAGACTCTTAATTCACTATATTAATTTCGGTGTGTATGATCGAATGCATGTCTGTACATTAACCCTTAAGCTATCCTCCTATTGGTTGCACTGTGCAGATAATCGATAATTTATCCACACCTGATTAACTCTCAAAAATATATATGGATTTTTAACACACACACACACTCACTTTGTTTCATCGTGTGCTTGCTCGCTGTACGCTTGCGGACTTTTATCGATCATTAACAATAAATTATCTCTACAATTGGTGTTCAGGCTTCTCAATAATCTTGAGTAAATCCGTAATTCTACTAGGAGATTAAGCCTACCTTAAATACTCAGTTTACGGGATATTATTTATTGGAGTCAGATATTGAGGACATTAGCCTCAACAAGGTACAAGTATTCATAAACAATTGTCTACGCAAGATACTCAACATACATTGGCCGGATACCATCAGCAACAGCTTTCTGTGTGAAAGGAAACTAGGAAAAGACGATGGAAATGGATAGGACATACATTACACAAATCATCAAACTGCATCAAGAGGCAAGCCTTAACTTGGAATCCTGAAGGGCGAGTGAAAAGAGGAAGATCGAAGAACACAGCACACCGAGAATTGGGAAAGCACGTGAAAATAATGAATAACAACTGGAAACAGCCGAAAATAATTTTCCAGGACAGATTTCGGTGGAGACTTCTGGTGGCTGGCCTATGCTTCTCCATGAGGAGTAACAGACGTAAGTAAGTAATGTGCATGTCAACCAAACTGCTAGGAAATGATTTAGATATATAAATGTTTTTGGTAAACACTACTATAAAAACACATTGATAAACTGCATTTCACGTGGACAAAAAAGCGATTAACTAATGGAAAATAACGTAATTCGAACCTTACAGTCGAAAACAAATAGCTTAACAAAGTCGTTTATAAGAAAATTATAATATATAATCAAATTTTATCCATTTTTGTAACGTGCCAAGACTAAGTTTGTAAAATATACAAAAGACACCTAAGTTGTTAAAAACTAACATTTGACTAGCCAGAAATCTAACTGTTTTCTTAAACTGTTGTGTGAGGTAAGCAGATGAACTAAAACACTCGAATTACTACTGATATATAAAAAATCTTGATGAAATATATTAACTTACATATAAATATTATTTTTAATTGATAGTTTCGCCATCATGTATATCGAGACAAAATTAATTATACTTTATTCACAGCTGTAGGACATGAATTTTGAATGCAGGAGATATGCATAAACTGCAAATGTTTGACAAAAGATTCCAATTTAGTACTGATCAAATTTAACAAAGGAACCACATGAGCACTTTTACTTTTAGACTCTGAATAGTCGACAGTAGTTGTCAGTCGTTTGGTACGGTTGTGCTTTTTATTCAGTTGACACGGATAGGTAATATTTTATGCGTACTCAGCTATCGCTTCCACCAATGAAGTATTATAGTAAGGACATAAACAGGTTGAATGATGGCAAGAAACGGTCAGTCCAAGAAGCTATTGATCATTGACATGAGTAGTGAAAGTAGGTGAAGACTTCATGGTTGAGATTGATGTAGTGGGTAGTAAAAAATTTTATGTGACCTGGAACAAAATCCTTGCACATGAATCCATACTATAGTTCCCTGTACATCTGAAATGTCATATAATACTCTTAATTTTCATCCTAAAATTCTGTTCACATCTCTTGGTTTCTCTTTAAGCGTAGATTATATTCATTACAAATCGATTTTAGAAGGAATTTTACTAAAAACCACCGTTCACTGAATAACTATTTTGTTCCAGTGCTAGACTCACCAAAAGTGTGTATCCAAAATCATTTCGGAGGCCAAACATAAGGTCTTCGGGTTTTGCAGTGAACGTCTAGCCGTTAGAGCCACTAAATGGACGTCCAGTGATACATTCTGAGCACCAGTTAGGTTACCATATCTCGTGGTTATTAAATGTCACAGGTGACGGCTATTTCAAACACCACCAGTTACAGTTTTTTTCAAATCCCTTACTACCAATTATTAGTATTGTTTTTATACATTTTTAAATTTTCTATTGCCTAGTTTTCTATGACGTGCAAAGACTTAGATAAACACATTTGTATCAGGCCTCAAATTGTTTATATCTATTTCAGTTAGAGATATTTTACGGATTTATGAGATTCGCATTTTAAAATGTTTCAGTAAACTACCTATAATGTCTTACAAATCGTACTAAAAATATTATAGTTCGTCTAGTGGCTCGCAAAGAGAACAAGATATTTTTCGGTAAATTATATTAAAAGCTACTTATAAAAATATATGGGCAGTTGTTCTTTTGAAAGACAAACACTCAATAGTTGAAATTAGCTTTCCTAAAGAGGCATATATGTAACAGAATTTAGTTGATCTTTTGAATACAGTATGTAAACAACTAACTTTGTGAAAGGCCCGCATGTTTTTAGTGTGATATTCTAAGAAAAAAAACGCTAAAAAAAAACTTGAAGTTAATGAGTAGATAGATTGTAGTTAACAGTGGAAACCAGAAGACTCTTTTCTTCCTAGTTGAGACTCTTCAGCTACATTTGCCTTCATCCCAGTGTTGGTTTTATCCTTCAATAATCTGATTATAAAAATATCACAAAGCTTCTGAAGATTAACTACAATGATAACATTAGAAAAGGTTTGAAGTATTAGGAACATTCTGTATTTTTATGTAATAAAATGGTGTTTGGAAATAAACACTGGATTTTGTCTCTGAGAGATACCATCTTTTGTACAGCACTCCCGTTACCCAAACATGCCTTGTTTAGTTATGTATAACCCAATCATTCTAACTCGATCCATTTCAAAGGTTCATTAAAAATACTGGAAATAGGTTCTCTTCTATAGTGAAATAATTTCAACTGATAGTCTTTATTGATTCATATGTGCTATTTCAGAAAATGTCTTTATGTTTGCAAGAAAAGCAAATAAAAGTTTACAACTTATGTTTAGTATAGTTATTTCTAAACATAGATGACACTTGGATTTGTCTATCTCAAATAATAATTACCAAATATTTTTTGGAGACTAGTTTATTTGATAAATGATATATGTTACAGATAGACCTCAGTTGCATTATTATTGAGAACCATAGATTACTGAACAGTTGATTTATCATAAGGCTGTGCTCCTTAAAACCTCGTACCGAAAACCCTGCCAGTAACTGGACCCAGAACCTTCAGAATATGTAGGAAGCAATTATATACTAAACTATTGGGTAAGGTCTAATGTTTTACATTTTCAAATTCAATTAATTTACGATATAGTATGACGATCATCCAGTGCCACCGATCACAACTTTCCACTAAAACTTCAGAAACTTATCTCGCAATATGTCACCAGTAAGCACACAATTATAATATGAAGTTTTGCAATGATTCATTTGGTTAGTTGGTGGTATTCGTCGCGAATTGGTCTCACCGATGAACAGTCTTATGCTAGAATGAAAGTTGTCCAGTGCCTTCTGATTTTTAACGTTAGGTCAGTTGAGGTTAACTTGTTTAATGGCTTCACAAACATGAAATTATGTTACTGTTTTGAATGTTGATTGATTATCATATTTAATCCGATTTTTTTCAACAAAAATCTTATTTAACAAAGATAAATTTAAAGCTTAACGTTTTCTAATGTTTTTTTTCAGAAGTTATTAGCTGAAATAAACGCATCGTAAATATTTTATCGAAGAAATACGATGTATTTTTATTTTTGAAAAAATATATGAAAACTGAAAAATATGATTATTTTGATTCTTCCACTTAATTTCTAAAAAATGAGTCATATCATGCGCTCACAGAGGTTAGATAATTATATTCCTGTTTGAGTAATAAAATGTTGGTTGCGAATGCTTGAATACTAACGGAGGACCCTGTTGCTTTTCCTTTAAAAAATGGGAAGGGACTACAGCTCATAGACATCTGATCACAATGGGTTATCCCGACATAACTTTTTCAGAAATTACTAAAAAAGCATCCTGAATTTTTACAACTATGACAACGGTTAGCAGTGAGTCGTTTTACTCAGATCTCATCACGTGAACTTAACAATATCCTGATGAAGATGTTTCCAAGAAGGCTAGAACCCAGGACTCATCGTTTCAAATGTTAGGGAATATTCAACATATTAGTAATTTTAAATCTCCATGAATGAAACAACTAATATCTCCAGGTTTGTAAGCTCCTTGATAGTAATTATCTTGTTTCTTTTGCATCTGCAGATTAAAGTATAGATAACTTCCGGGAACTATTTATAGACTGTTAAAATCTTATGTAACTATTAGGCAACGAGATTACATGCATATACGCTTATTCCTTTTATAAGCTTTCACTTAACTCATTAGCTACTACTACGCGATTTACTATTTTTTAATTTATTCTCTATCTATTAGTTACAGTCCTCCACACTCACAGCCACTTTTGACTTGATATTGTATAAGTGTTATTTTTCATTCTGTGGTGTGATGAGATTTGATCTGTTTGTATATAAACTATTTGTCTGAAATACGTTATTCACAAAGCGGAGGCTGATATTGTATTCTGGACTCAGTGCACAGAGCTAGGCGAGAAGATACTATATTGAAGACCAATAGGGACTCAAAGTTGTCGCGAAGCTGTTAGAGCTGGCTAATGTCATTGGTTTAGGACAGGAACAAGACTATCGAGGTCGGTATTCTAATTGGAGTCATAGTCATGGGATAATTGACAGGGGCAAATGTCATAACAATTTCTGTTATTTCCATGGTAGTGAATTACGATGTGCTTTAATGTGTGCGGGTTTTCCTACATGACTAACACAGAGAATTAGCTCTACAGCGAAATGGTAAGGAATCTAGTAAATTACATACAAATGTAACCACTTTTGGTGGTGGCTAGTGTTACATCCTGGTTATTGAAGCCGGTTCAGACAGTGAGGAGTTCCTAGGTTCAACGGTTCCTCTTTATCATTTATTTAACAACTCTGTCACGATATAATCTATAGTAAGAAAACTATCAAAATGTTACCAACCATCTTAGCGTAATATACACACATGTCAATTTTCTTTTGAAATATACTCATATTATTGATTACGAAGAATTGTAATAGTAAAAAACTATGAAGGTTTGGTTAGTTGGTGCATAATTTTCATGGTTGTATCGCTCAAACCAGTCTTGTATGTTCACCATAAAACTCAACTATCTCGACATATCTCCAACATAGCAATGAAGTCAAGCAGCCGAATCTGAACTTGGTAAATGCGTAGCATTACTGTTTTATTCTAGAAAACAGGAAGTTATGGGTTATTCTAGAAGCAGTCGTATGACGATACTGACATAGAGCTCTCTGAACTAAGCATATCTGAAAGAGGACATTAAAGACAATTTACATAAATTGTCCCATATTATTCTAATGAGTTTCTGCTACTAAAAATGTATGCAAAAGATATTTTGACATGTCTTTAATAGCATATGTTGCGAAACTATTTAAGTAACAGACTTAGCGAGTGACAACAATGAAAAGTAGCTTAACGCCACACTCATAATTTCATACCTTTAGTCCCTGTGATAGCTGAGATCAGAGCAAATATTCAAGAGATAGAAATGAAAAGGAACTTTCATATGTTTAACTCTCAATTATTCTCTCCAAGTCCAGGACTTCGAATGGTACATGAATTCTAAATCACGACGAAAACATGGGTTGTCTACACATTGTCAAAGGGTTAGCTAATATTCTATTACTTGACTAACCAATATAATGGTGTTGAGTGTTTGCAGATGAGTTTTTAGATTATATTTGCCGTGCGTTCCATAGAGCGAGGATTTACTTAGTTCTTATATGGTATTTCACAATTATGATACAACGGGTAACCTTGAGAATTACTAAAACTTTGAAATACTGTTTTAAACAAGATAACGCCAATCAGCTTATCTTCATGAAACTCCTTTTAGTCTAGCCACATAATTTTGTGAAAATCATCAATACTTCGATGTTATCAGAACCACTTATTAAAGCGGGAATCACCATAAATCGTAATTACATTCACTGAACATTAACTTCGGATGTGTTTAGATGGGAGTACAAGTGTAATCAGAAATCTAATCTTTCACGCTCGACGGTATAGCCAAAGAACTTCGTAATAACCAAGTTCTTTTCATTTAACATGATTCCAACAAGGGAACTATGTTGTTACTTGGCAATCGAAGCTAAACAAAATATATTTTTCCGGGACTTAATGATTGCTGAATTGTAAAAAAACTATCATTTATGAGTAAGATAATGCATGGCATCTGTTTTTTATGCATAAAACTGCACAAAAATTAATTAAGTAGTGTTCTATTCTTATTTATAAAATACTGACTATAAATACTGGATGCAGTTTAGTCGTAGTTGTGACATGTCAAGTAGATGAATCCATATCAACACTGAATTTCAATAAATCTGAACATTGCGGTTAGCCATAATCAGAAGTGAAAGTAATACATCTACAAAAAGAGTTGATACATATCAGCAGCGAATAAGCGGCTTTCGGGGAATTATAAACAAAAAATACCAAACTTGCATAAAATCAAGCATCTTAAACATGATAGCTATAATGTAACGCTGATGCAGTGAAATTATGATGCGACTGAGAAAATAATGCATCATTCAGCAGTAATTTCAACACACTGAAGAACGCCGACTGAGAATACTAACATTAATGAAAATGAAATTTAACAAATAGCTGTTATTGGAAAATTTTCACAAATCTTTTTATTAGAAAGTAGAAATATTCGGTATAATGGATAACACAATATACTTATTATGCACCAAATTGAAACACATACATAACAGTTTAAAAAGTGTTAAGATTATCATTGGAATAGGTGGAAACATTTACAATGAAAATACCTAAGTGTTCCGGTTTACTTGAACAGGGAGGCATAATTTGAACTGCAGGGAGCTCTTCGTCCGAAGAGGCGGTCACAAAAGTATATACGTCTTATTCGACAATTGGCGTGAATCTGAAAATGTTTCGAAGAGAGATGTGTTTTTGAAGTATCATTTTCGCTCTAATAGTCATTTATACACCTTTGGGTGCTACAAAGTATACAACCTTATACAAAACTACTTTTAAAAGACTTGAAAAATTATTATAAGCATATTGGTTAAAATATTTTTTATTCCTAATTGCAATGGCTATTGCATCTAGTCAGTAGTTAGGAATTAATAGTAAGCGTTAATGCTTCAAAACAAGGAGTCCACGATACACGTACTGGAAAGTAGTCTTTATGCCAACTGATAACAACCTGAAAGATTTGTTTACATACGGGACTAAAGTACCGCATAAAAAAATATCTAAATGTTTAGCTTAGGTACAGTCAAATAAGGGTTAGTGACGAATATGCACCATATAGATGATGGGTTAAGACTGAAGTAAAAATGTGAGCTCTAGTTTGGATCTACATGTAGCGCGCCTACACCAATAAAATTAATATTATTCAGTGAGCATCTCTGAAGCGTATTAGATTGAAGCATAATTATTATTTCACAGCCCATGAGCACTTAACTTGTTTCTATTTAGTGAAAACGTTCTATTTCACCCCTACAATTATCTGCTTACATGTACTTCCGATTAAAATCATGTTACTATATCCGTGGAAATACAAATCCTGGTCACATCATGTGTTAGATGTTATGGCGGACTCAATTGTCACAGGTATAAAGCCATTAAGCTTAGAAGACATTGGTAAGTAAATGATAACTGTATATACGGGTCATACACGTAGCACATAACCAATAAATGGTGAACCAATAAGAGAACACACTCCTGACGTTCTAACTGGATTGCCTACATCTAATGTGGTTTGTGTGCATCAATTCGCACGTTGTTAACGATTTGTATGAAAATAACCAACTTAGAAATAATAACACACTGAAATTAGTGCATTATATTCCTGTTCATGAACATGCATTAAGACACGGCTTGCTTAATATCCACATACATTTTTCCGTTATTTCTTTTCTTGTGCTTTAAGCATTGTCAAGCTGATAACTATCACTTCTCGTGACATCACGTACTCTAACAAGTTCTGATAAAACCATTTCAGAGGGACCTAATTTGTTAATAACAAGTAACTTAATTCTAAGAGCATATGAAAATGCATCTGGCAACACGCCTGAAATTAGATCTTAATTTAATGACCATTACAAACCTGAACTCGCAGCACCTCGACAAAATTGGTTCCGTATGCACGCTTTGTGAAGTCTGCAACGTTGAAGTAAATATTATTCCAATCGGCTTCCAAACGGAGAGGCATGGTGCAAATAAATGGCTTCACCCGAGTAGTGCTCTGGTAGTTACTGGCCCTAAAACGTCTCTTCACACCCTCATCATCAAGGATCTAATACAGAATAAAGTGGGCAATGAAAATGACATACCTGGATTTCAAACGTAAAGTACTTATTGAGGTTTTTACAATTAACACTAGGAAAGGTAACTTAGTGCCCAGTGCTTTCCTAGGATCTGCAGGACAAGATATATAAGTTTCTACATCAACTATGTAAGGACTACACAAGACTGATCATACGAAACATTGCTTCCTAATAATTCTAAGACCAAAGACTGGATTTCATTATCTGTAATTCTTTTGATGTGGCCGTTACGAACCTAGTTAGGATTAAATATTTAAAAATCAAACTAGACATGATATAAACTTTTTTGTCCCAAATCTGCGGAGGTTTTGTCCCAACACTGAATAGTATAGATAAAAACCCACTCTGGAATGTATTCCTGAACATTCGTGTAGCGTACGGTTCATCAACGCGCCCTAACAAATAATTTCCTAGTAAATCAAGACATAACTCAGGCCAACTAACTATCTCTGTGTATTAAAATTCCCTGCAGAAGGAAGACTTTTATGGTCTGGAGAGTTCTGAAAGTCGTCAATGAGAAATAAGAAGAGGAATGGTCAAAATCTGAGCCCACTTGCTATGTAAAATCAATCTGACAGTCACATCATCAATCACGAGCTTATATCTATAGCGCTTTGTCTCCAAAGCAAAGCACGATGATCAACCTTGTCGAGTACCTTGAAGAATTACAATGGACAGTTTATACCAGATGGCTTGGTCTCAGTGGAATGATTTATCTACTCCAGGTAACCGATAGGTTCGTGTCTAAGGATCTACGGTGCACAGTATCGTGTCGTGAAAGTGAATTCGCTGAAGATTTAGTCGCGGAAAGACTAAGTAGTAACTCTCCACGACTTTTACTACTGCGAAGAGCAAACAAACTGGCAAGTGGTTAGACTTTTTCTTATTGTTACCCCTTTTGTTCACAGGTATATTTTTCCTCTCTTCCTATACAGTGGGTAGTTTGCCTTGACTGAGGAATGGGTAAAGAGAGGGAGCAAGAAACAATTGCGGGTTTCTTCTGGATTCTGGTCGAATACTACCTCAACAAGAAGGTTTATTTGGGTTTCTCTTATTCTGAAAGGCTCGAGCGTCAGGAAGCTCGGGTCAGCATGGTAAAAGACGAGGCGGAAGTCACTATACAACTGCATTCCAGAATGAGACGTTTTGGGACGGAATCCTTTTGCCAAGAGCTTAGCGATCCTGTTTCTGAAGCTATGTGTCGTCAAGGAGTCCTGGTGCAGAACACTCAACGTAGTGTATACCTTCTTCCTCATAAAGTTGCGAAGAAACTTATGGTCACATTCCACAGACTTCATTAGATGAGACCGGTTGGTTGTTTTACCTTGTTCGATTTTCTGAGTATAATACAGAATATTTGCCTCAATCCGAATCTAAGTGGGTCTGATTTTGTCGATGTCGTATCGTTATTGGTCAAGTTATTTCTGTGTGAGATATCACCGTGTATATTTGTGCGTATACAAGTTGATGTGTAAAATGTAAACCTCGTAGTGTTATGGAGTTGAGATAACATTTGTGCGTATCTATGTATATTAATGGTGTGAAAAACGAATAAAGTGGGGTTGTCTGGATTAAAGGATCAGTATGGACTGATAGTCAGGCCTTCATTCCTATAGAGGGCAGAAGGACTAGCATCATGCTCGACAAATTTCAAAACTTGAAGGCGAGTTATCCACAATCCGCCGTGAACTGAAAGTGGATACAAGGTTCTTGCCTTCTCATTAGTGTATTCTGAGGCTCACAAGTGTGAAGACTGCTGCCACACTAGTTGTATTCACCTACATTATCTGCTACGGGACAGAACAGCCAAGTCATTCGTGTAGTCCACATTTTCCAGCCACGTCTAAGCTGTTCGCTGCATTCCGTGAGTCTCCTCAGACCTGAAGTTCTTCGTAATCCATTCAACCACAAGAAGAAAGAGAAATAGGGAGAGTAAGCTGTCTTGTCTTACTCCAGTCCTCATATGGAATAGGTTGGTTAGCTGTCCACTATGCATGACTTTGTAGTGAAGTCCGTCATATGAATTCCAAAACATGTTGGTGATTTTCTTAGGGACACCATAATTTAGAAGAAGGTCCCATAAGATTCTCTTACCAACGCTGTCAAATGTTTCATGATAGTCAAGGAAATTGGTGTATAGTGACGAGTTTCATTCAATTGATTGTTCAACGACTGATCCCTACGGAATCTAGTCCGTTGACTTTGAGGCTGGGCGTCTACTGAGTTTCTCATCCAGTTCAGCAAAACTCTGTTCAAAACCTTTCCTGGTGCGGATAGTAGTGTTTCCTTTATAGTTCTCACATTTGCTCAGATCTTCTTTCCTTGGTATCTTGATGAGGTTTCCTTCTTCCCAGCCTGTCAGTGGAACATGCAATTCCCAACAACGCCTGAATAAAACGTGGAGCATGTTTGCAGTTACTTCTGTGAATGACTTCAGTGCTTCTGGTGGCATGTTGTCAGGTCCTGTTGCCTTCCTACTGTTGATTTGTCTGGTGGTCACCATGATTTCTTCTATCGTTAGTGTAGCAACAGCTACAGGAAGTTTTGTGTGTGCTGCTTTCATGTTAGATGGATTCATCAATGGAGCCGGCCCATTCATATGTTCCTCAAAGTCCTCAACCAACCTGTTCCACTATTCTTGAAACTCAACAGTATTTTCCTCCTTTATCTTTGACCGGTCTCTCTGGTTTACCACATTTCCCTACCGGTTTCTTTATTGTATTATATTTACTTCACTTGCAACTTTTAACACTGCCATTGCCAGGTCTTTTACGTATGTTTACTTATCAGCCCCAATAATTTTCTTGCCTCTCTTATTTGCTCTTGAGTGTTCGATTTGTGCCTTGGTGTTCTATGCTCTCGTTTGGTCGTTGTTAATTTTTGTCTTCTTGTTTGTCCTTTCTTGATTAAATCTCAGAGTATCCGTAGAGATCCGTTTTTTGTGTCGCTGCTACTGTGACACAGCAGCTTCTGGCACGTTAAAGTCAGTGCTTCTTTAATCCCTTACCAGTCGTCTTCAATAATAGTTTCTTCTTTTAGTAGATTCTGTAAAGCTAGGAACTTGTTGTTGAGTGCTATCTTGAATTGATTGAGTTAGTCAGTTTATCGAAGAAAGATTGTATTGAGCCTCTGTTCTGCTGTCTCTCCAGTTTTCCAGTGCTTCTTCACCCTTAGTTTCATCTCGGTCACAACCAGGTGATCTTGAGTTATGTCAGCTCCCCTTTTGGTTCTCTCGTCTTTCACTGACCTCCCAAAGTTTTTGGTGATGTAGATATTACCGATTCGGTTCTGTGTAGTATGATCCGATGAGACCTATGTAGCTTTGTGTATGTGTTTGTGGTGGAATATTGTGCACACAGATTTGCTAATTTAGATGCTTTGGAGATATGCTAGCTGTGGAGCTAGAAATAAAATATCAGAAATGCTGGAGTCCAATGAGACCTTTTGCACATTAGCAACTGAATGTACAAAATGTACAAAACTTTGTCTAGCATTCCGACGAGACGCTTCCGGGCCTGATGGTTGCGTAGATATGTATAAAATTTGACGTACTGGAGTTTGTCGTTCTCATGGTCAGTGCATGGTTAGTCTTACACTGCCGAATTAACTGTTTCATGTACTTCAGCTATTATAACAGCCACCTGTCCCCTTATTTGATAGCTGTTGTGATGGTTTATCATATGAAAAGGTGATGCGCCGAATGATAACATTGTTAATTTTCATGATCTTCAAACAATAAAACATTGTCTGCAAGGTCAGGCCCTTCAGTAAGAAATTTCTCCAATATGAGGGGAAACTTCGAACGTTGAGAGGTAGCATTTAAAAAATAAGATTGTACTTCAACCTGTGCAAGCCAGATTCGAGGGTTAATTTTACAGAATAAAATTAAATTAACCTAATTAATGCGATTCTTTTCGTCGTGCTTATAGATCTGAATAATGTGGCCGGATTCTGATATAACCATAGGAAATTATACAAAAATTAATAATCACCAGAAGAAAAACTTCACGTGAACTCAAAACTGTGAATTTAGTAAAAGGTAAAGCTCATTAAGATTCTACTACATGTAGAAGTGGTATGTATACTTTTAACCAACTTTTCGAAGAAATATTATGATCATACAGAAGCACAGAGGAAGGAAAGTTGTTTTCAGGTTTCTGTCCGCAAGATTTTGAAGCATACTTTCGGTCTGTTTAACATCTAAAATTTCCTCCCAATCTTTAAAACGTTAACCTGACCACATTTGGTACATGAGAAGATAAGATAAGATTACTCTAGAACGTATCGAATGGTGGGCCATGAGGTCAGTTCTAGGACTTGGGTTCAAGCTTTATGAAGAAAACCTTAAGTCGTTAGATTTTTACCAATTAGAGTACAGGCAATTGAGATGCGACTGTAGCAGTAAACAAATCCCCAAAATAAATAGCACTAAGTTTTCGACATTGGATGCTGACCATATGTTTTAGTGGACTCATCTAGCTGAAGGCGCTCGGTCAGACATCTGCACCAGATCACGTGTGGTAACGCCGTGCTCAACATCAACCGCAATCGCTAGCCAGATTAGATCAGAGAATTCCGATATATTGGTCATCGCCAAATATACTCTTCCGATCTCCTCGACTCTGTCTTTTGATTTCTCTGGGCGGGAACGAAATATATTAGAAGGTGTTACTGGTAGAAGCGTTGTCAAACACTGAATACCTGTGACATCATCATTGGTGAAACCGACGTGATCTGGTACACCTAATTGCAACTGTGAGTCTGTTCCTTTTTGGGATTTTTATATATCATTGCCTTATTTTTTTAACTTTTTTAAACATTGTGATTTTTTTTCGTGTTTTTTCCTGGATATATATTTTTTCCCCTCGTTCATTATCGTACTTCATACTTCATCATGACTGAACAGACACCTAAAGTACTCAAGCTTAAGACTTTGTCCCCGCCTTCGTTTCAACTGATGCCTTTCTGGCCCGACAACATCGAAGCCTGGTTTTGCTACGCAGAAGCCGACTTCTCCGAGCACGGCGTGATCGACACACGTGCGCAATTCCTCGCAGTAGTCAAGGCACTACCGCGCGAATTCAACAGGTACGTAACACCTAGTATGTTTACTAGTGATGTTTCCGATCCTTACGAAATCTTAAAACGCTCGATTCTTAAACGAGGAGACCTAACCGATCGACAAAGGTTAGATCAACTCTTCAACAATATCGACCTGCAACACGGTTCTGCGACGGACATGTTGCAACGGATGAGAGAGGTAATAGGCCCAAGAACTTTCGACGAAGGCCTATTCAAACAACTCTTCTTGTCAAAACTTCCCCAACAGGTGCAAGCAGTTCTGGTCTCGTTCCAGAACAATGCTT